TAAGGTCCGATAAACCGTGGACGAAGCTTCGTCCGAAGATAGCAGAGGCTACATGTGTACGCAGGTTTTTAGAACTCAATAAAACCAGGTCCCCGACCTTAAACCTTCCCACTTTGTCTCTCCCTTTTTCATCTGCATTTTCTTTTTGCAGGGCTTGGCATTCAGCTATCGCATCGCGAACGTGACGTAGGACACTGAGTCCGGTAGACAAAAAGTCATCGACTTCTTCGCGGATGGTGAGGGAGCTGACATCAGCTAGCCGTTTGGCTATTCCTCTCCCACCAAGCCTTGAGCCATGGGATGGCAGCGTCAGCGGGACGCGAGGGTGAATCAGCCTGTTCACATAGAACCGCGTGTAGCCGGTAGACGAATGCACTGCATTGCTCAGTGCAAACTCTACGAGTGGCGACATGGCGCTTAAGCGCCTCGGCGTCTCAGCGCAGACGCTACAAAAAACGTCTTCGATGACTCGATTCACCCGTTCGGTTTGACCATCGGTCTCCGGATGATCCGCTGTCGACATATCTAACTTGGTGCCGAGCACCTTAAAGATAGTCGATCAAAAATTTTCTGTGAAAAGGGGGTCTCTATCAGAGACAATCGACTCTGGGAGTCCGTGTTGACGGAAAATGCAATACACGAACAGCAATGCTGTACCGACTCCGTCGATGGTGTCTGGCACCGCCGCTTAATGAGCCATCTTGCTCAACCGGTCGACAAATACCACGACACCCATGTTGCCCGCCGAATCTTTCGGCAGGCCCATTACAAAGTCCAAATCATGGATTGATAGCACCCAGTGAGTACTGGTAAACTGGCCAGCGGCGCAGCCGCATTTGGAGCGGGTTTCAACCGCTGACACGTCTCACACGTGCGCACATAGGTGCTTGTCAATTTGTACAGCTTGGGCCACCAATAGTGGTGACTCAGAGAGTTGTACGTTTTCTCACGACCGTGATGACCACTGAGTGGCGTGCCGTGAGCCTCATAGAGGATGCGGTATTTTAAATCCTCATCATGAGGAACCACAATTCGTGGTG